GCAGTCACTAGCGTAGGTGTAGCAGAAGTCAAGAAAGTAAAGTATGATACATAACGTGACCTCTGAGGTTTCGTTTTAGTGAAAGCACATGCTTACAAATGGCATAGAATTTGTGTGGACAGCAGAATTAATCAATCTCAGCAACCCTTAATGTGGAATAAATAATAGTTTTCTTTCTTTACATTTGAAATTTTTGGAAGTTGAACTGTTTGGGGTGGTTTCTAATTTGCAGTGGGTTTCTGTATCGTGTTACTTGGACGCTGTGTCCTACTGCTGTATGTGCCACTGCATCTGTTTCCAAAGAATCTTAAAATTGTAAATAAGAAAATAAAGCAAAGTTCTAGACTTTGAATCACTGTCATTTAACTTTATTGTTAAACTGTCATTTTATGAGAAATAAGTTGAATTAACAGAAGCTCTGCAACAAAAGGGCCAAAGCATTGGGCTCTGAAAGCAAGCTTCTTGTTTCTTACAGTTCTCTGTGGTAGGCAGTGAGTTGTAACTGCACTCACCGCTGTTACAAGTTAACATTTATGTACATAGACCTGATTAAGTCTGTAACAATGCGGAAGATCATGATAACCGTAATTTCCGTTCCATTATAGTTCTGCTGCTTTTCAATGGGGTGTTTAGAAATACCCAGTCAAAGCCTATCTTAATGTTAGTAGTATCAGTTCCTGAAACCCCACAATGCTATTTAACCACTATCAGAGATTCTTTGTGCACAGTTAATTGACGCTCAGTGCTACAAATGCAGCCTATCAAACAGGCTTTTGCTCCATAATTCTTCAAAAATAGTTCTTAAAAATAACATTTAAAGTGTAAGAAATCAAGCAGTGAGCAAATCAGGATGCTCAGAAATAACCTTGTAGCTTGAGCACAAGTGGCAGCGCTATTTTTAATGGAATCATGGCATCCAAATAGAAGTTTTAGAGCATCTTGTTTCTTCTTGGTTTTGAATCACAGAATCCCAGCTTGGTTTGTGTTGGAAGGGACCTTAAAGCTCCTCCAGCTCCAACCCCTGCCACGGGCAGGGACCCCTTCTACTAGAGCAGCTTGCTCCAAGCCCCTGTGTCCAACCTGGCCTTGAACACTGCCAGGGATGGGGCAGCCACAGCTTCTCTGGGCACCCTGTGCCAGCGCCTCAGCACCCTCACAGGGAAGAGCTTCTGCCTAAGAGCTCATCTCAGTCTCCCCTCGGGCAGGTTAAAGCCATTCCCCTTGGCCTGTCCCTTTTGCATTTGAGGTAATACTTAGGTTGTTGGCTTTTATCTGAGGTCAGATCAATAAATAAATAAGCAGGTAAGAGCTAAGGTGTGGTGTCGTTCCACTCAGATTTACTTTTGTTTGTGATTAATCACACTGATTTCAGTAGACTAAAACCTGTGGGCACATAAAATGCCTGGATGCTGGGAATGCAGGGTGCTTGTGCAGTACATGAAATTCTGTGCTGCAGATCTGTATGATGATGCCAGCTTGAGCAGTTCTTATGAACCCAGTCACTGTCTCCACCTTCACCAGTCCACATGAAGGTCCCGCAGCCGAGCCTGTGTTCTAAGCCCATCCCAGGCCCCTGGCTGTCATCAGCCTCACTGTAACTTGTTTTATCAAGGAGAATTCTGGAAAGAACTTCCTTCAATCCGTGTTTTTCCTTGATGCGTGGAGCAGTGCCTTTGTGAGCCCACAGGAACAGGCACTTCTTACACAGGACTTGCTGCCTTTCCACTAACTGTAAAGTTGTGATGGTGTGTGTTTTTCTTTCTTGGTTTTAACTGGGCTTTGTATGTGAGTTTAGGAAAGTTATTTTCATTGAATTTTACCTGTAGCTTGCACGTGACTTGAAGACTTACCTAGGTTAGCTACTTGAGAGGCAAAGTGTACTTTTCTCTACCAGAAGAGTCTCCGTACCCATATTGCTATTTAAGACTAATCTGGTTTTTCAATCTCTTTGAAGAAAGCCGGAGCATAGGGAAAGTTCCTCTCGAGGCAGCAGTGGTTTCTGTTGCTTGTGCCAGTTTCTTCAGTTTGGAATTAAATCCCAGGTGGCAATGGTTCTGTCTTGTGTCAGGATTTCTTTGTCCTGGCTGTGTCCTGCTGGGATGTTGACCTCGAGTCCTCCACAGCAGCGTCTCCTGCATTTTCCTACTTGCCTCCTCCATGCTACAAAGAAGAAACCCTCAGAGGTGAAGGAAGCTGGCTGGGGGTCAGGCAGCGTGCTTGTCAGTTCCATGCGTGACAGTGTTTGCTGGTGGGTGCAGCGGTTTGTCAGGGAGATGGGCAGGACCTCACGGTTGCGCTTTGACAAATGAGCGGTGTCTAATCTCTGGATGCGCAGCGTCTCATAAATAATGCAGCAGCCACTGATCCAACACACGGGTCTGCCTGAGAGGAGTGAAAGACAAAATGAAACTAAGTCATCCCTTTTGTTCAGCGTATCGCTGCTTTTGTACTTCTCAATAAGGGTTTATCTAGTGGCAGGCTGCCTTTTTTCCCCTCAACTTCTGTTGAGTGCATCAGATGTATTTAAAGGCTCATCAAGTTCTCATTTAAAATGTATGTGGTTTTCTATTCCAATATAAAGTCTGTTGCAATGCTTTTTCATTTCTCACTTGACTTTCCTTTACACTCTTCTCATCTGTAATTTCCCTCTCACTACCTGGAGGATATTATGTGTCTGTGAAGAAGTAGAAGTAAGCAGCAAGCTCATGACACGTATAGGTGAGATCCTGACAAGGCTGCCAGGACACAAGTGGAGCCGGGATCAGGGTGTCCCAGCCAGAGCCCCTCAGGTCCATGGAGTCTTGCTGCAGAGGGAGCAGGGCTCAGTGCTGGGGGGGGATGTGAAGGAGCGGGAAGGTAGAGGATTGTCCCTGTTCAGGGAATCTTGTAAGCTTCAGGACAAGTTAGAATTCAGGCTGTGCTGGAGGTTGTGGCTGCCTCTTCTGCCCAGGCATTTAGGTGCAAGTTGGACGGCTGTGTATCAGGCATGGCTGGAATTTGTAACCTGCAAACCCTGAAAAATATTCTGGTGGAGGAACAGTCCTCCCTGTGATACTGGGGTTGTCTTTCCAGGCTGCCCTTGTGTGTGTCTCAACACATCTGGCTAAAACTGGTCTGGGATGCACTGGGTGCTGCCTGGGTGGTGCTGCTGGACCCAGTGAGGGGAGCCCAGCACTTCTGGTGGGGTGAGCCTGCAGCCTTCCTTCAGCAGCCTCTGCAGGGGCTGCACCGGCATTTCACCTGAGTGTTTGAGACCCACCTCGGGGCTGGATGGTCTCTTGCACTTCAGATCTTCAGTTCTCTATTCTACCAGTGTAAGACACTGATTGCCACAAGCATTATTGTCACACTGCTGTGATGTGTGTGTCTGCATCATGGTCTGGTCACAGCTGAGCTCCCTCAGGCCCTCTGTGAACCCAACCCCAGCAGTCTGACAGTGGGTACACAGGAAATGCGGGATGCAGATATTTGGAGTTATTTCCTCTATCTCATGGGGTCCTAAAATCAATGGTGGGCCGACTGCTGTTCTCACCAGCCAGCCAGCACATCCCAATCAGTCTCAGGATGGATGGCGTTTCAGCTTGTGTCCCCATTGGGACCCAAGTGCTTGTGCCGCTAAGGGGTATGCTTAGGTAGCACCCCAAACAAAGGTGCTTGCTCTAATAATCACCGAACCCTAGAATGGCTTGGCCTGGAAGAGACCTTACACTCATCCAGTTCCAAGCCCCTGCCATGGGCAGGGACACCTTCCACTGGAACAGCTTGCTCCAAGCCCCGTCCAACCTGGCCTTGAATAATGAATTGTTGAGGGTTAGGATCTCAGAAACCTTCAGAAACCAGGAAAGTACTTAAGTATTTGTCAGGGACAAGTACTTATATTCTGCTGAATATGAGTTGCCTTTGGTATGCTTTTAAAACGCATTTGCTGAGATGGGAGTTTATCTCTGAAGGCAGTTGACATTACTGCTATGCTGAGATGCTTTCCTCAGTCATGGACTAACCTTTAAACTGTAACAGAATCCCATAGCTGGATTAGGTCATTGTTTTGACAAAAACTGAAGAGAATAGTTGCTGAGGAGGAGATGAGCAGAAGGAGCTGTACATCCTGTCTAAATCCCAACTAGGAACATGCAGTAATTTGTTTTCAGTAGTAACTCAGTTGTTTCATGTATTGTTGCGGGCACTGAACTCTGCTCAAGCTGATGCTTAGAGACACACCAGTTCTGCCAGCGTCAAGAAACTTACCATGTATTCAAATGTCTCAGCCCCCCTGCTACTTGTATACCAAACATACAAGTCACCTGTATATTCTTTCTCTTTGGGTCAGTGAACCCTGAGAAAACACCTGCCTCTGTGGCTTCACTGATGCCAGGAGCAGCCACTGCTCTGTACTGCTCAGCGTCATAGTTACATCCAACAGTTACCAGCATGGAGAGCTGTACAAGCGGCACAAATACTCCCGACACTCCTGTTAGGTTTGAAGTGTTCCTGCCCTGCAGCTGGCAAAGGCACTGACACTGCACAGCGTGGGAGGATGGAAAATCTGTGCCTGGCTCTCAGGCGTTCTTGGATCTCTCACCTGTCTCTCGTTTCTGTCCTGCAGTCTCCAAAAGCATCCGTTTTGCATGAAAGTGAACCGGAAATTGTCAGGCTTCTTTTACACAGGAATTGTGGGGATGCGGTGGGTGTTTGGGAAGGGATTGTCTGTATTATGGATTGCATCCACCCCCTGGCATTTCTACCAGTCCACCTGGGAATCCTGCCCTTACTGTGTTCAGTCAGCTGCCAGGGATCTTCTGTACAGTGGCTTATGAAGCTTCAGAGAAGCAGCAAAGGAAATGAATATTTGCATAGATCTTAGAAAATGTGAACTATTTATTAGTCTTTAATTGCTGTGGGTTTGGTTGGTTGGGTGGTTGGGTTTCACTTGGAAAGCACGATGCTTTTGGGGGTTTAGTTGGCCAAAGTCAATATTTTATAATCTCTGGTTGTTTTTGCAGGCTCTAGGAAGTTTTTACTTTCTTCATGAATCTTTGAAAAACATCTACCAGTTTGATTTTAAAGGTAAGCGAAGGAACTGCATGTTGGTTGTTGCTGTTTATACATCACGGCAGCCTTTCTGATGGTAGTTCCTAGCAGTGGTTTCCAGGATGTGCAGGCTCCTGTCTGATGCATGCGAGTCCCCTGACAACAGACAGGACTTTTCTTACCTTTTGTAGCACTCACAGGAGAAGTCAATGAACCGGCCACAGGTTGAACACTGGTGCATTAATCATTCCCAGGCAGATGGACCTTTGGATCTATAGAGATCCCTGATGATTTCAGAAGAACTCTTAATGGCCACAAGGTTCTTCCCTGTAGATCAGATATAAGACCAAGACCTTAAATGTCCAGCTGTGATGGTCATTTTGCAAAGCAGCTGAGGTAGATTTATGGCTTAAATTACTTTGGAGCAGTGCAGGTCAGTAGGAGGGTGTCATTGTTTCTAACCCACATTGATCAGGCAGGTTGGAGGTCTTGCTAAATCTCCAAAGTTTAAAAGGAATGCTAGGCTATGGGCATTAAATATTGGAAATCTCATAGAGAATTATTGAATGCTTCCGGGGGTGTATGTAGAAAAGATTATATAAAATTTATGTTATTTCAGTGGAGAACTGTCTGTATATTAAATACAAAACCCTTGGGAGCTTCATTTAGCTTACTGAGCTGAATCACATTAATACTACATCCAGCATCCCATTAATTTGAGACACTGCTGCAATGGTGGTAACTATGGAGTGAACTGATTGTCTTAATTACAGAGATTCATTAGTTTTGCTCTCAGTAGAGACAGATTCTCTCTGAGTGTGTAATTGAGGGTACAGGGTCTTCCTTCCCCTAGATGTCTGAACAGTGGTTCTATGTATATGGCAACTCAGGATTCAGCCAGCATAACTCCTTCTGTCACCACTGGTTTCAGTGCAGAAGGAAACTTCTAGCTGTATTTTAGACAGTTTGGAGTAGATTTTATTTCTGAGAGATCATAATGGAAAACTCAGTGGTGATGCAGGGACTTCTAATACAAGGTGTGGGAGAAAGACTGGCTTTCAGTGCAGGTTTGCGGGCACTAAGGGATGACAGTGCTATCAGCTGGACTGGGTGCAGGGTAGAAATACTGGAGGCAACTGGCATTGCAGATGAAGCTGTGGGTCTGAGGTGCTGTCTCTGGACTGACCAGCCTGCTGCTGCACGATGTTTGTTCATTGTGCCACATGAAGGCTTTGAGTATCAGTGACATGAGAACTGCATCTGCACACCCAGTTCCTGAGCCCACAGCTTCATCCCACCCATTCTGCTCAGGATTCCACCTAAAGTTCCCTCTGACCGGTCACAGGGGAGGGCTGCTCTAGTGACATCTGAGAGAGGGAAGTGATGAGTGGTTTAGGAAAAGAGGAGCTTTCTGGGTTTGTTAACTGTTGATGCACACCCTGTTCACTACTCTACAGCTTTTAAAAGAAAACATAAGGAGAAAGTGAGAAAATGAAAGGAAAAAGTGTAGGGGAAAATAATTATAATTGATATTATAATATTGTCAATATTGGAATCAATATAAAGAAAGAAGCAGATATAAATATATACAGATAGATAAATATATACAGATAGATAAATATAAATAAATATTATATATAAATCATACAGATGGATAAATATAAATAAAGAAAGGAGCTCCAGAAAATAAATACTTTAAATTTTCAGTGACTTGTTTTGCGTGGCAAGCCTGAGCAAGGCCAGACAGGGTGTGAGCTGCACATCAAGAGGTGTTTGGCCAAGTCATGACTTGAGAAAAGCAAACTCTTGATAAAAACCCAAGGAAGCGGCCGATCGTGTTGTAAGTCACCCGCTGCCTCTTAGCGCAGAGCAGAATCAGTCTCCCCGGGTAGTGTTTGTAAAATACGAGCTTGAAGGCTCCCATCTTTCAGGGGAAGTGTAAAACTTGCCTCTTCTCTCATGACTATTGACATTTTCACAGTGTAGTAAGCTCCTAAATCAGAGGGAAAATCCAAACAGTTACAAACGTTCTCTGCACAAAAATCATTATGAAATTCTGGTTCTACTCAAAAGCATGCAAAGAATGGATGTTTATCCACAATTCGATATTCCCGGAACATCACTGTGTCTTTTCACTGCGGAGCTGGATGTGACTAATACAGTATTGGGGGGGGAAGACTGTTTTTTAGTTCTCAGAAAAATTGAGTTTTAAAATGAGAACAATGTTCTCCTACAGCCCCACATATTATTTGCTACAGTGCAGGTGGTGTTGGACTCTATACTGTCATCAGAGGCCCAAATGTTTGCTTACAAGTTAATGTCTTGACAAACCACGTGTTCTGAAGGGCCATCATCCAGCAGCAGGGTTTGCTGGCCCAGGCATTAGCCCAGGTTTCATCCACTGCTTTGATTGACAGGAAGAATCTCATTTTCCCTGGTTTGGAATCAGAAATAGTGCACAGATATCTTTATTTGGAGAAGACATGGCATGTAAATGAATCACTGGGTTGTAGTTAGCAATGATGTTAACACAGGGTGATGGTGAAGGGCCTCCTCTCTGCCAAGTGCTGCCTTTTACTTAGGTTCTCACAGCAGGCACCGTTGGTCCTTCCAGTTCTGCCAAATGTGTTCTGTATCCTGAATGACATTGGGATCGTTTTGATGACACCGTTAAACTTCTTGAAAGAGGCACATCCATCCGTGATCTACTGAGAAGGATGCCACATGAGTTTGTCAGGGTATTTGTTTAACCTTCCTGCGGGAGCCAAACCTCAAAGGGATCACCACATAAAAAATGATCCTTCCCCGCTCCCCCCCAAAGATATCCAGCTGCATCAGAGTAAATGCTTCCTCAGATTATATGAAATACTTTAGCTAGATGACTCCAAGTGACAAGGTTTTCCATTGCTTGGTATTTCCACCAGATATCCAGTAGAACCGGACGGTTCAGGGCTCTTGGTGATAATAGTTGTTCTGGAGTTTTTCTCTTGCACGTTCCTAGTCAGACTCGATCTGGTTGTGTTGTTCCAGCTCAATGGTAGCTGCAAGATAGCTGCCAAATTCCTGTGTCAGAAGAGTTAGGTAAATGAAGTCAGGTTCTTTCCTGTAGACATGCCCAGACATTGCCCTGATCAGGAGAGACCAAGTACAAAGTGGATCGAGAAGCAGAATCTCTTGTTCATGAGCTGTATAGATCCATAGATCGATTGTTAGAGCTGAAGAGTCCGTTCTCCTTCTGTCTGTGGTGTGCCCTTAAGGACTTTGGAAAGTGGTGGGCTTTACCACCAAGTCTCTTTGACAAACCCAGCACCTGTTCCAGCTTTAATGCACACGTTGGCCTGTGCTGACAGCCAGGAGTGGATAGTCTGGAGGAGGTGGGTGGCTACAGGGTCACCGAGCAGCCAGTATGGGGTTTGAATGGACCGAGTCCAGCTCATCTCCTCCATATCCCCAGAGCAAGATACTTTTACCTTCTTGGTTTGAAATAATCTGACCAGAACTGATGCAGAAGCCTGGTATCAGTGAAGGCCGTTAAAAAAATAAGATGCTATTTTACTTTACGTGACTACACGAATCACTGGGACTTGGCTGAGCTGCATGTGTAAGCACAGGACATTCCAGAAGGAAATCAGAAGAAGGACGCCTCTTGTCTGATCTTTATGTTTATCTGATGTTGGGTTTTAACCACCCAGCTGAAACCTGGAGGTTTCTGGTACTGGCCGTGCTTGACCAGGTTGACCCAGCTGGCGTGTCACAGGAGGGCTGTGCTGCGTCCCACCGCGCTCCGCCTGGTGCAGTGCCTGCTCCTGAACACAGCAGAGACCCAGGCGACATCCTCTGGTGGCAGCCAGCAGGCAGTGGCACCTCAGGATTTCGGAGCTTAACAACCGTCTCCTCAGAGGCTCTGTTCATGTCTGAGCTCAGCTGGAGCTGTAGGCATTTACATCATCACGAATAGCCAGGCTTTTTCAGCATCTTGCTCAGTGAGAGGATCCTGGGCAGGAAATTGCCCAGCAAAATAATGTGTTAAGTAGAAAAAATAACGTCCTCTTTTAATCTGGTTTCCCCTGGCTGTCTCTCAATTCCATTGGTGTCTCCATTTCTGGTTTAGGATGTTACAGTAGAAATTTCTATTTTCCCTGTTCTAGACCCCTCAGTAAACCACTTGGGTTTGCCCCAGTGTGTTCTCTGCTACTGTTTTGTCCCTGAGGGAAAGCATTCAGTCCGTTCATACAACCGCAGAATCCCAGCCTGGAAGAGACCTCAAAGCTCCTCCAGCTCCAACCCCTGCCACGGGCAGGGACCCCTCCCACTAGAGCAGCTTGCTCCAAGCCCCTGTGTCCAACCTGGCCTTGAGCACTGCCAGGGATGGGGCAGCCACAGCTTCTCTGGGCACCCTGTGCCAGCGCCTCAGCACCCTCACAGGGAAGAGCTTCTGCCTAAGAGCTCATCTCAGTCTCCCCTCGGGCAGGTTAAAGCCATTGCCCTTGGCCTGTCCCTACAGGCCCTTGTCCAAAGCCCCTCTCCAGGTTTCTTGCAGCCCCTTTAGGCACTGGAGCTGCTCTAAGCTTTTCCTGGAGCTCTGTATGAGAACTTTTTCCATGTTTCTTCTTTTGTCTCAGGACATTGCAGTATTTAGAGATTCAGTTGGTGACTGGAGGATGTCACCTCTCTTTTCAGAGACAATTGTTAATGAAAAACCAGTCTACCTCAGATCTGTTCCACAAGAGGAACGGGCTGCTCAGCTTGTGATCAACTCATCCTTCATTAGGAGCTCCACCAGCATTACAGAGTCAGTTCTGGAGTGAGAACCACACTAGAGGCCACAGCCTGCCCAGCAGACAGCTCAAGTGTGTCCAAACACAAAGTGAATGATGATTGTCAATATTGATGATTTAAAGGAAAAGGCAGAAAGTGAGATAGCCTAAATTAATAAGTACTTGTTGGATGGGTTAAAGATGTGATTAATAGTGTGTTACATACGTGCATCAGTTGATGTTCAGGTAGGTGGACTTAAAACCTGAAAACAGGAGTTGCTGGATAAAACATACAGATCATCAGTGCTCAGAAGTAACATTCTGTACCTGAATGTGTTTTGCATTAATTAATTTGCCTGTCAATCACCCAGCATGGGTTGCTGGATGCTGGCTGAGGGCGCAAACAGGCATCTCCTGGAAGAACCATGACAAAAAGTTTGAGTGCAAGGGTGTGCAGAGACCTGGCTTGTAATTAGAGCTGCAGCCCTGTACAGTGCTCTGGGTAGTAAAATATCAGACCCATGCCTGTCTCACCTCAAGAGGTCTGAAGCAGAGGCACCGGTTTGTGTGTGCTTAGTGGGCTCTCTTTTTAACTCCACAGCAGCTCAGTGCTCATGTATTTTGGCCGAGGCCCTACCACCTCTTTCGCAGATGCCACTGCTTTGCCAAGGAGCGCTGTAAGTTGCGCGTGATGCCAAAGATAATTCTGTTAATTTTGTTTTTTGTCTCTTCCTAGCTAAGAAGTATAAAAAGGTTACTGGGAAAGAAATCTACTCTGACACTTTAGAGAGCACGCCCATGCTGGAAAAAGAGAAGTTTCCACAGGATTATTTCCCTGAGGTATGTGCAATCCGCGGAGTGTGCCCAAATACTCGGTTTGTTCCTGACTTGGTCTGGTGACTTGAGCAGCTACTCCCAGTAATGTAAATAAGGTCAGAATCGAGTCTTGGGTTTTTATTTGTTTGTCAGTTTCTTGTCACCTATAATGTGTGTTTTAAGTCATTGCATGGATTTACCCAAGTCAAATGGAGTTCTTTGTGTAGTAGGAAACCCTTGTGAGGGATGGAGACAGTAATGAAAAGGCTTGTTTGTGCATTTAAAACCAAAGGAATGGCCCACAGTGCCAACTGCAAGTCCGTTTCAGGGAGAATTACTCCTTGGCAGGGGGAGACACGACTCTGAATGGATTCCATTTGTATTCGGCCACTCTGGGATCATGGCTGGAGCGATGCTGGTTCCTGTTTGGTACGGTGAGGAATCACTGCAGTCCAGCCAGCCTGTGGGAAAAGGGGCTCCTTACTGGTGCAAGAGTTCACCTGACTTACAACATATTGGTGTGTTCCTCTGGCACTGCCCTGGTACCCCCTGGTTTTATTGTTCTCATAAGAACTGAGGAGTGCTGCGGGTGTGATGGTGAAGATGAAGGTCTTGTCAAACCCAGCAGCACTGAGGGCTTCCTTCCACTGCCCCTGCAAGTGCAGTTGCACATGCAAGCACAGTCTTTGCCAGCAGTTCTCTTCTTTGATGCTTACTTTTATTTGCTCATTTTTAATTTCTTAAGAGCATCTAACAGTGGTTACAAGCCAAGTCAATAGATCTGTGGAATTTGTTTTACATTTGTGCATCAAACAGGCATGTTACTGCTTTAATACAAGGGAGAGCTAAATAAGCTCTAAAAATAAATCTAGAATGTGTAAATATACACAGAGCCATTTACATAGTGCATGTCTGCCTGGGAGAGCGTCGATGGGTAATTACAGGGCGCATGGCATGTAGGTTATTCTTTTCCTTGATACTGAATTATTTCTGTCTCTCCGTTCTGGAAGGGAAGCTCCTTTGCCATAATTTTATTATCTTTTACCTCCTGTGAATAAACAGCTTTAATACTCCTATGAATTGTTCCATCATTTTGAAGGCCCTTCAGGCAGTTACTCAGCTATTTGTTTTTCTCCTCCATCAGCAGTAAGCTCTAAGCTGAACCACTGTGGGTGATTGACAGCAGGGTAGGAAACGAACAGCACCACTGAATGAGTCAATTGTAATACTGAGAGCAGTGAACAGCAATAGGCCAAATTATGGATTGCTCACTGGTACCAGGGAGAATGATTCCCGTTGTTATTTCCCTGCTGTTGTTTCATCATCAGACTGGCAAATGTGTAACTTGCTCGGCATCATTCGTTACGCCTCTTACATGAGCAGCTCCTCACGGTCTCTTGGAGACGTGGCTGAGTCCAGTGGCTCTCTCACACTGCTGTGGATCAGGGATCGTGTTCATTTCCTGCTCGGGGATCAGGTGTTCCCACACTGGCGTCTGGAGCAGTAGCTCCTGTATTCAGTGCACTCTGCAGTGCTGCTTTAGCTGCAGGGCTGTGAGGTTCAGAGCCCAAGAAGCATCTAAAAGAAGAACTTAAAGCACTGGCACAGGGTGCCCAGAGAAGCTGTGGCTGCCCCATTCCTGGCAGTGCTCAAGGCCAGGTTGGACACAGGGGCTTGGAGCAAGCTGCTCTAGTGGAAGGGGTCCCTGCCCATGGCAGGGGTTGGAGCTGGAGGAGCTTTAAGGTCCCTTCCAACCCAAACCACTCTGTGATTCTATGATTTCATGATATACACATTTCTATTTTTAAAGCTAAAATTAATCGTGCTGTTTCCTTCCTCGAGAAGTGTTGGTAATAATGATGCCAATTCAAAGATTACAAAACAATATCTAGGTTGAAAACTTGAGTTGAAAGTATGAGCAGCATATCTCCAAACATCACATTTACATGCTCTTGTGTGTTTTAGCCACTTCTCATATCACATGTACAATGTTTTGTGTGAGAAACAGTTTAAGACTGATTTCTTTTTATTACTGATGCTTAAGGATGATCTAAAAGTAATTACAATGATTGAGGCATAATGCAATTCAAAATAATTACAGCCCACTGCATATAAAACTAACAAAACTTTCTGTCTTGATTTATGGCTCCTCTTGGCTAGGCATGAGACTCAAATGATGCCTCTGGGAGCAACACTCCAGATAATGTTAGGCCATTTAAAAAAAGCAGATTTGTGTAGTCTATCAGGCCTGAGTAATTTTTTTTCCCCATAGTGAGAAATTGGTTGTTATCATAGATCACAGATACTGCTCAAAGCTCTTGTGAAAGATGAATTAATTTCACTAATGCTTTAATGCAAACCTTTCATGGAGAAGGCTGTATGGTGATAACCTTACTGCGGTCTCTCCTTTCTCAATGATGATTTATGTTGTCTTTTAGTAGATGAAACTGGCTGTATTCACAATCCATCTGCTGGCTAAAGGAATCCTATTAACAGAGGATCTGAGAAGAGACTTAATACTGTAAGGTGAAAGATGTGGTACCCCCTTTCTGGGACATGCAGTAGAAATTTTTTCTCCTATTTTAAAATGTAGATACCTCTCTGAGAGTGTACAGATGATCTGTATCAGCTCTGTCTGGTTTTATGCTGGCTTACAGATGGTGGAGCAGCTAGTGACTATTTGTTAAACTGAAAATAAAGATTGTGGCTTTGAAATGTGCAAGGAGAAAGCATTTTCTTTTTCTCCTTCCCAAGCTATCATTCTTTCAATTCTATTTCCAAAAAGCTCGTCTTTCCAAATAGTGTATTTGGAAATATTAAAGCACATCAGTGATCCAAAAGACATACTACATATGTTATTCAGCTGCAGTATGTATCGAAGGTGAAGGATGATGTTTTTGTATTTAACATGTTAAACAGTGGTTTGACTACTGGGCTGTATTGAGTCCGGAGCCTACAAACCTTTGTATTCTTAATGTTGAGTAGACAAATTGGGTTGGAACTAGGTGATCTTAAGGTCTTTTCCAACCCTAACCATTCTGTGATCCTATGAAATTATCAATAAATGAATTATTTATCGAAGTTAAAGGAGTTAAGTAAGTGTGTTCAAGTTATGAGTAAAGGTAGTTTACAGGTTGGTGTGGGGAAATACACAAGCTGCACAACAAAACCAGTGTCATTCTGTGTTACAGAGGCATAGGTGTCCTTGCTTGATTCAGCCTGGGCAGGGTGATATTCTCCAGCAAGAGCTGAAGTATCTCCTCAGGCATCTGTGCTGGCTTTTGCTTGGCCGAGTGAAAGACCTAAACCGTCATGTTTCCATCCACTACTGCTGCTCTTACAACTACTTTAAGTCATATGCTCCACCAGTAATGTAATGTGGCTGTATAGAGAAGAGCTAAAGAAAATCTTAATTGGAAGAAAGACTGGTGACATGCTCAGTTAGGCTTATGCTGTCTGTAGCAGCACATTCGTTGTGGCATCCCAGTTTGTCATTTTGGGACAAGCCATGGAACCTCCTGTTGGCAGTTCTGGTCCTGTGTCATGTTACCACCTTGCTACTATTACCTTCATAGTGTAAACCTTATTGCTGTAATTGTCTCCCTATAAAGGCTATTTTATAAAACAGAGTTTGTAATGAGACTTTGTGTTCTCAGAAGGAGTGAAATGAGCTCCAGAGTCACTGTCATATGTGGGGTTGGGCAGCTAAAATTTAGGTCCATTGTCTGTACTCCTGTCAACCCTACATTCTGCTGATCCAAGGAAGGAATTCTTGGAGACTGGAATGTTATTCAGAGAGTTTATTAAAATACAGGAGGAAGAAAGAAGGAGCCTTGTGAAGCAGAAGAAAGCTCTGGCAGTGGATATGGGAGCAGGCAGGTGTCTGTGGTGCGCTTGCACCCACAGACCATTATTCCATCAGTTTCTGGCAATGATGTAGATCATTGCACCTCAGGGGCAGGGCTGGACCCTCGGACCTCGCACTCTGCTCTGTATCCCCTTCATCCCCTTGTTCCTTCATGGTTGTCTGGCAGGTGAAGAAGGGACCCCTGAACCTCTGCCCCACCACGTGGTACTGGTACCAGTTGCTTCCAGAGGCCTTCTGACGCTTCACACTCGCAACTTTCTTACCTTGACCTTTCCTTCAAATGTTGTATGATTGTTGTATTTCTGCCTTCCAAAATAACTTACAGAGAAGGAATTGGGTATTGCTGCTGGTTGGCTGCTTCGCTGGTGACATGTATAGGAAGAAGCTGTAAGCAATAACGGTTTGCATGTCCCATGGTTTGGTATGTAAAAATAAGTGGAGCAAGTGCAGGTTTTATCAGATATCTCTTATGTTTGTGTATGTCATGCGCACGTACTTAAATGTTTTCTTCCAGTAGATAGATTCTTACTAAATTCTTCATACTGTATTTTTTCATAAATAAAGGGTAATGAAAACATTATGTGAAAAAGCAAATTATCAATTAAATAATGACACTACATAATAGACTTTGCCATTAGATAGATTCACTTCATGTCCTTCAGCTCTCACGATACATTTTCTGCTGAGCGCCATAGATACTTTCATTTGCAGACTCTTAAACTTATGTAATGACTTCTAAAAATCTTCAGCAGTAAAGCCATGACTGATAGTGCTGTTACAATGGTTGATGGTGTTCAGAGGCTGGATTGGGCTTGAGTTCTCCATGTTCTGCATGTTACTCTGAAATACAGGGAAATCAGAAGGGCACTTTGGGCAGTTTGTATACAAACTCCTAAAACCACAAAAGAATAAACTCTTCAGTTCTGTGCAGTGATCTAAGGAAAGAAAGGAAGTGATTTTGGGGCAGGAACTACAATCTGCATGGGTTTTGTGGGTAGCTCCTTTCCCTGGCTACTTAAAAACTGAGGATCGTGTGAGTCCATGGAACACAGGTTCCTGTGTGTGCCTTGGAGGAGGGGTTGTTCCCACCACAGTGACACCAGCTTCTTAGTGCTGAATGTTCTTGGTGCCCCAGTTGTTCTGGTTGCTCATGTGCAAGATTTCAGGTCTTCCTCTGAACTAGGGTGTTCCTTTAAGGAGCTGCAATTACACTGCAGTCATTGCCACTTGAATATGTCTTTCCTTTGTGCCCCTGCTTTGTATGGTTGAATAAACCCTTGCTGGGTCACTATTTAATTTGATATGGTCTCTCAGTAAAATGATGGAGAAAAGATGAATTAAGGCTCTGTGCTAGTCATTATCAATCATGGTTTGTGTGCATTACTTATTGCTCACAGTGCTTTTTGACATTAGCCCTCTATAACCTCTCTCTTCATGTTAATGTTGTCTGGAGGTCCTTTTACCCGATGTAGCAGAGGTTATTTATGTAGGTGGTGTTTCTAGGGGGTTTTAAAAGGTCAGCACCATCTCCTGAGGGACTCTATTCACAAAGAAAAGGTTGGTGGAATGGAACTACAACTTTTCAAATTGTATTCTTAAAAAAACATTCTGTTTTTAAGGACTAATAATGGAGAGGTGTCAGAATTTTGGTTACACTGTTGAAGTTTTGACAAAATAGCCTGTAATACATCCTGCCTCCCTTGAAGCCATAGGTGTGGTGGGTGGGTGAGGAAACACGAAGCTTCAGTAAGAAATTCTGTATTTGCCATGTCATGAAATACTGGCTGTGTTGCAGCCTTTTAATCAGCTTGTATCTGTGTGGGCTTGTGTGAAACAGAGCAAGGCAGCAGTGCTGATATCAGGTGTATTTACACAGGTCTTGTTTGTGCTGGGGAGGTGGTCAGTGCAGAGCCAAAGTGCTGTGGGATGGCTGCTGGAGAAGGCGATGGTGATTGACAGTGGCACTCCCAGCCTCGTAGACGTTGGTTGCACAAAACCTGAAGCTAACTGTCTGTGTGTGAGCCGTGGCAGCAGGCAGGGCTCAGCAGAGAAGGGCATCTGGATGGCAGCATTGCAAGGCTCCTCACTGCCAGCAGAAAAGAGAGTTCCTGAGGGCTGGGAACAGACAAATATCCCAAGCCATTTTCGTGAAGGGGCCCAGGTGGCCTCTCCTCAGGCATGGGTAGGTGATGGAGCAGATCTTCCTGGATGACCAATTGCATAGACAAAGGGGAGCGCTGTGGATGTCCACAGACTGGTTTGGGTCGGAATGGACCTTATAGCTCAACTAGTTCCAAGTCACTGCCACCTCCCACTAGAGCAGCTTGCTCCAAGCCCCTGTGTCCAACCTGGCCTTGAACACTGCCAGGGATGGGACAGCCACAGCTTCTCTGGACAAAACTTGTTCTAGCAAGGCCTTTGATGCAGTCTCTCAGAGTATCCTTGTAACCCAGTTGGTGAAATGTACCGGGTAGGTGGGTGGAAAGTTGGCCAGCCACCAGGCTCCCAGGGTGGTGAACACAGTCCAGCTGGCAGCAGGTTGCTGGTGGTGTTTCTCAGGGGTCCATGCTGGGTTCTGTGGTATTCCCCCCCTCTGTTAACGGTGTGCACACCAGGATGGAGCACACGCTCAGCTTCGCAGGGGGTGTCAAGCTGCGGGAGCAGTCAGTGTGCTGGGGCAGGGATGCTGTTCAGAGGGACTTCAAGAGCCTGGATAAACGGTCTGACGGGAGCCTCATGTCGTTCAGCAAAGATTAATGGCAAGCCTTGTCCCTGGGGATGGGATAACCTCATACAGTGGTACAGGCTGGAGGTGACTACTCAGAAAACAGAACAGGACCTAGACCTTGTTGGATAGCAACTTGAACATGAGCCAGCAGTCTACTCTGATAGCAAAGGAGGCCAGCAGCATCTCAGGATGTGTTAGGTTCCAGGAAGAGACAACTCCATCTATCTGGCACTCTGAGGCCACATCACATCTCCAGTGTCTTCTTCTGGAGCCCCTGTACGAGACAGATGTGGGCAAACTGGAGCAAGCAATAGCAGAGGCACCCCTGGAGCTGGAGCACAGGATGTGGGAGGAGAAGCCAGAGAGCCCATGTGTGCTGCCAGGAGAGGGGGAGATGGGCTGCTGGCTGCAGTGTCCAACTGATGGCTCTTGAGGGATGGGGTCTGGCAACTCTGGGTGGCAAACAGGGACAGGACAAGGGCAGCAGTCGGCTGCAGCAAGGGAAGATGTCACTAGATCTGGAAAGAGATTTCACCATGAGGGTAAACAGCAGGAGAGGGGCCCAGATAGGTTGTGGAATCACTGTCCTTGGAGATGCTCAAACCTCAGCTGGATATGGCTCTAAGCAGCATGATCCACTTGGCCCTGGTTTAACATTGCATCTTTTGAAGTACCTGCTGTGTTGCCAAAGAGGAGAAAAGCAGTTGAAAACTGACAGCTGGATTCAAGCCGTTATCTTGGGCTTCATCATAGGTTTGGACTGTGTGATTTTAATTTCTATGTATTGTGCTCCAGTAATTAAAAGTTCAATATAGTTATTTTTAAGACTAAAATGACAGAGTTCCCCTTTTTGATTGGGATTAGTTTTAAGCCAGTTTTGAATGGTTTGAGCAGTGAACCTTTTTCATTGTTCTGTTTTTGAATAAACGTGGGCTTTTTGCCAAATCTCAGCTTGTGGCTGTGCTGTCAGGAGTGTCACAGAAACTGTGAACAGGAGAGACCCTATTGGGTTATGGGATCTGTAGTTCAGCCATGAAGGCAGCGTGCTGGGAGCTGTGGTGTGTGCACCCTCAGGCAGTGGTCAGCAGTGAGCAGAGCCACTGCTGGACTTACTGGGGAGGTTCTTTTTCAGTGTTGATACTAAAAATACTCCCAGTCAAGTAGATATTTGTTCACAGGCACCACAGGGGATTTCTCACCACAGCTGCAGTTTAGGAAGAGGATTTGTGTGAATTAGTTCCCTCTGAATGCAGCCATCAGCTGGATCTCAGAGGAGTGAACCATTAGGATTTCCTCCCTGAACGCTGCCTTCTTAGACTTAGGCCAATGTACTTGCTTCCAAAAGCCCACATTCTTAAAAGACTTAAGAACCTATAGACACCAACAAACAACTGATGTTCCTTCCTAAGTATCTCAGAAACATCTATTCTCCTATATGTCCATCTGTGGTTACAGAACTGCTGCCGTCAGGTCCCAGGAGATCTAGGGGGTGGAGGTGCAAACTTGAGTGTGCTTGGAAGAGAAGTCCCTTTACTCTGTAAAACCTTTCTGCGTTTAGGAGGGGTTTTCTCCTTTTTTTTATAGGAAATCGTTACATTTGGCTGAACGTGTGTTTTGTTAATTTATCTTATTCCATAGAATCATTTAGGTTGCAAAAGAACTGTAAGATCATTCTCTCTTAATGTATGTCCTGTGAGCTACTGAAAGCCAGCTCTAAGTAGAATCATAGGATCAGAGTAGCTGGGTTGGAAGGGACCCTGAAGCTCATCCAGCTCCAAGCCCCTGTGTCCAACCTGGCCTTGAGCACTGCCAGGGATGGGGCAGCCACAGCTTCTCTGGGCACCCTGTGCCAGCGCCTCAGCACCCTCACAGGGAAGAGCTTCTGCCTAAGAGCTCATCTCAGTCTCCCCTCGGCAGGTTAAAGCCATTCCCCTTGGCCTGCCCCTACATCCCTTGTCCCAAGCCCCTCTCCAGGTTTCTCATCAGCCCCCTTTAGACACTGGCAGACTGTTACAAGGTCTCTCCTGAGATCTTATCAGACCTTGTCTTTACTGTGATATCAGTAAATACTTTTTGCATTCAAGTTTTCAGTAAGCTATTATTTATTCAGTAAATAAACACTTCAGAACCTTCATAAGCCACATTTTGAGTGCAAGAACCCTAGTGGGAAAGGGGCCCTGGTAAAGAAAAGGTGTTATATCTGGTTGGTCTTGATGGTGGTTACCATGCTGGTGCCTGAAAAGGGAGGCAGGGGGGAACCAGCATCTGAAGGGTGCTGAGAAAACAGCCCATGTAGGTGCTGTGAGGCACTTCACTACTCCAGCAGTGGCTGTGCCTGCACAGTGTGCATAGGGAGGTAGGTAAGTCCCTCAGGAGGGTTGTGCCTCAGGAGGACGATACCCCTGAGCAGGGGTGCTGCACTCCAGCTGGCACTTCATACGTGATGCATCTTTTGCTGCAGAATCACTGGCATCGTTCCTTAGGCCTGTCTGGTGTGGTATTCATTACCAGAGAACATGAGCATAGCCTCACATGCGTTGTTAACTGTGAATAAATAGGATGCAGAATCATGTCTTTTTGTGGGAGGTTGTAATTCATGGCAGTGGCTTAGGAGTGGCGCTGGAAAAATCCTTTTGCTGTATCATAAGTGCCATATGTTGGCACGAGCTGATTTGTGGCTTGCTCGCGACTGTTGCCGTTTTGATAAATGTAATGCTTTACCATTATTTAAATTCCCCTTAACTTTTACAGAAATATTGGGTGGGTTGGCTCAGCAGGAGAAATGGCTCCCTAGCACATCTCATTCATTTTAATTTGATGTAGATCTCTGCTGACACTTTACAGTCCAGGTAAAATTACAAAGAAGCCAAAACATTTGTGCATAGGCAGGAAGAATTTGCTGGTTTAGGCTGAGCAGAACTACGGTTGTGAAGCTTTCCTAATTGGCTATCTGTCATCTACAAACAACTACCAGGGCTTGTATTAATTTTACATGTAAGTCTATAAGTGCTGCAGGGCCAAGAATACAAAATCATTCTGGGATTTAGAACAGACACAGTGTGTGTTTCATTGTACCTCGGCCTGTGTGTCGTGCACATTAGTTACAGGGTATGGATAACTTTGGTTTATCTTGTTCTCTGTGTAAGTACATTCCACTTTTCCAGTCATCCTTTGCTTAAGGTGACTGATTCTTATTTGCTTATTTTTCAGTGCAAGTGGTCCAGAAAAGGTTTCATTCGAACAAGGTGGTGTATTACTGATTGGTAAGTTGCATCTTTAAGTTATTTCTGCTTAGGTGTATGTTATGGATGTTTTTGTTAACAGCCATTTCAAAGAGGTATTCATATGTATAGACTGGTCTGTTCATAGAACAGATTGCTTCCAAAACAGTTGCCTTGCTTTGTTATTTATTGGACACATCATGCTCAGTAAGTTGTGATGGTGCACAGCAAAAAGTGATGTTACTGTTCACATGTATGTGCAGGGAGTGTGGGGTAACTCAGGCCATAAGCAACCTCTCAGTCAAGCACGGTCAGAAACCTCGGTGTGTGTGGCCAGGGCCACAGGAGCCAGTGTGGAGCTAAGCTCACACCTAACACAGCTGAAGCTCAGGGGTACACAGCCCTCACCTCTTGAGGAAGCAGACTGTTCTCCATGCACTCCTAAAGCCAGCACTTTAAGCCCAGTCCAGTTTCCACTGAAGTCAGTGGAGGGACACTACCTTTAGTGTGCAGCTTTTACAACCAGTTCCTGCTACGGTACTTTTAATTTGTTGTATTCAGGTTGGGGTTCACATTTTGAAGTCAAGGCATGGTGCTGCTCAGTGTGAGGTTCCTTAGTGGCATCCTAAGGTAGAACAAATCAGCTGGCAGCCCAGTGCAGGGCGGGATGGAGAGAGAGCAGGCAGCAACACACCCCTTGTATGTATGTTATAGTCACCTAAATATATGTGAACGTTCAACATCCTTCCCTTCCTCCTGTGGCTGTTTCACTTCTTAGAATCCTAAGTTTGATTTGGAGGCCTGATGAGTGTTCACACGGGCTGCCTGCCGAGTGTTGAGCAGTGCTCTTGCTGCTTTGCATTGGCATCTGTATTAGATTAAGCAAACAGCTTGTGAGAAACGAACAAGCAGCAGGTTTTCTCCCTTTGCAGACTCATGACCCACAGGCAGGCAGCTCTGGGAGAACGTAGGTTCCTGGTAATCTTTCCAGATACCTGTGACATGGCATGTGATTCCAGCAGAAGAGATCTGCAGAAGTGGGCATTTAGCACCAGTTGCTAATCTGCCTTTGCTCCTATACCGTGACTTTTCCAGGCCCTGTCTCTCCTGTCCTCTTGGATTCCCTCTTTGCAGAAAAATAAAGTTAAGAATTTATTTGTAGGCCTTTCCAAGAAGAAGCAGCTCTTAGAGATAGATGTAAAGGAAATGTTCTCTTGCAGGTTGATATTACAAATGATAGTTCTTGGAAGGAGACTGTAGTTGGCTGTTCCGATCGGATACTGTACTATGCTTATGGCTCCCAAGGGCACACTGGGAGATAGGAGAGAGGAGGCTCCCAGCTCTTTCTGTGAGCTGTGTGCGGTAGTTCTGCACCTGGAGTAGTCCGTGGTTATGATCCACATGGTCCAACGACATCTCAGATGTTCCTAAGGAGAAGTGAAAGGGGCAAGTTACTGTGAACCATTTCTGGAGCAGGAAAGTGAAATATTATGGCAAATACAGAGGGCTGGAAAATACACCTGCTCCGGGTGTAAGTGCACAGCGTGTCTGTCTGCAGTATGACGAGGGCTCAAACCCCGCCTGTGCATGTGCACGTCAGCAAAGTTCTGGCCATTTTCATACTCCTGACTTGTGATTGATGCATTTCTACATGTGGATAGTTAATAAAAATACAGGCAGGAGAGAATGCTCCTGTGTGAACCCTTGAGGGGGCTGTGAGTTTCCCTGCACATCATCACAGAGTGTACCTCGTGCCAAATCCAGAGAGGTTCCAACAGCCCCAAAGAGATTTCAGAGAACAGTCCCCTGTCCTCCTCTGTGATTCAGTGACCTGAGTCCCTCTATGCATCCAGGTTTGCCACCTCATTATTCTTCATTAGCTTATCTCTAGTGTGGATGAAGAACTAAAGAATCTTGGGGCACTCAGAGGTTTCATTTTAACAAAAAGTGAGTGTGCTACACAACCACGTGCACTTCATTTTGCCTTTGTTTTTGGTGTCTTGAATATAAGGGGGTGGCATTTATTTTTATTCCAGTAGTTCTTAGTGTTACGTGTTAATAGGTGCATGGTAGTGCCCTGAATGCATTACGGTCTTCAATATTATTTATTTATATAGTTTATATTTGGTAGGGTGTGGACTAGAGAATACATTTATAAATGTAGGTACGGCATCACCCTGGGAATGTTGGCAAGTACATCAGAAGCCCGAATCAGCAGTCAAAATTGGTTTGATATTTTAAAGGAAGCAAGATTGCAAGCTTACAGTCAGGGAAGTGCCAAGCATTGCACTTTGAGAGGAGAATTCAAATGCACAAACACACTATTGGGAGTAACTGACTCATAGTATATAACCTACAGTGTAGAACAGGATCAAGGGAGGAGCTGTAGAATATGGCACATGATTACGTTAGTGAGTTGAGAATGGTGGGAGTGTTTCAGTAAGAGCTGGAAAGAGCCTCCTCTGCAGGCTGGTTGCTGGCTGTCTCTCCTGCAGAAAGGGCAGGAGGAAATCGGTGTCATTACTTGACAGGACAAGCAGTGTCGTGAGGGTTTGAACGTAAGGACAGGGAAGTTGTAGGCGGAAGGTAACACGGTGCCTGGAGGAGCAGCTCTCAGCTGACGAGTCTTGCTGTGGCCATCAGCCTTGCTTCCAGAAGTGTCAGACAGGAAAAGCAAGAACCCGCTCAGAGCAGCTGACATGGCTCCTTTGCCCTTGGAGCATGCCTGTGCTGCCAAGGGCAGGAACAGAACTGAAGCAGGCTTGGACAGAGAGCTTTAAACCAGCCCAGTATGACCACCCCTGTGTCCTGCCTAAAAATGTCACTGAGACTGGACTTGGTCAGTGCTGTGGCACTTTCATTTTGCCTCTATTCTTCCCATAATGTCCTTTCTTATTTAAGTGCTGGCAACTTTCATGGAATCATATAATCCCAGCCTGGTTTGTGTTGGAAGGGACCTTAAAGCTCCTCCAGCTCCAACCCCTGCCACGGGCAGGGACCCCTTCCACTAGAGCAGCTTGCTCCAAGCCCCTGTGTCCAACCTGGCCTTGAACACTGCCAGGGATGGGGCAGCCACAGCTTCTCTGGGCACCCTGTGCCAGCGCCTCAGCACCCTCACAGGGAAGAGCTTCTGCCTTAGATCTAACCTGAACTTCCCCTGTTTAAAAGCAGTTTAAGGATATACATTTATACCCGAGACATTTTTTACCCTTATCAGTCTAGTGTAATAGTTATTATCAGTGTTCATGGAATCTACCCAAAATGTATTTATTGAAACAGTAACCACAATTGTGCCCTCAAAGTCAAGTGCAGCAACTTCTATAACACATAACAGTATTATGCATGTGGGAGCTGATGGGGCATCCCACTTTCTGCAGGTGCTCAGGCACCTCCTTTCCAAAATACAGTGTTGTTAGTGCTGTTCCCTAAGTATCCCTTTGGAGGTTCAGTCCCTCAAGGCAGGAATTGCTGCATGCACTGGTTGGTTTGAGGGGCTTTGTTAGGTGGATGTGGTGTCTCTAGGTGAAAAGAACATTCCATGTTTCTAGTTCCATTGTGACTCACCATGTCCCATCACCACATCACCAGAAGATGCAGAGCAGGTCTGTAGGACACAAGAAGCCAGGTATAAAGCAGAATACCAGTTTGGCTGTAACAACTGCACAGGTTGGATGTGCCCTGTCTTCCAACAGTGGGAAACCAGAGCTCAAAGGACAGTTTGCCTTCCAGGTAACTCCCAGCCAGCGAGAAGTGATACCTCTGTTGTGATTAGCACAAGTGACAAAGGGAAACTCCTCCGTCGCGGCATGTTTATAGCAGAAAATTCCCTCTACATAAAGGTTTTCTGCCATGGAGAAAAGCAGGACTGTGATTTAAAACAGGGAGTGATTTAAGGTACAAGAATACATTTGCATACAGCTTCATTGTAAGGCCAGCAGAACTAATAGTGTTAAAAATACTGATACTAGCCAAAACCAGCCAAGTGCTGTGCAAGCCCTGCAAATGCCAGTCCTTGTGCCATGGGACTTACGCACTGATAGTGAATGTATGTTAGGATGTGGTTATAGATACCTGTCACAGTGGGAAAACAGTGGACGCATGGTGATCGTAAGAAGACCTGCTCTAGCAGGTCCAGAGGACAGATGAGGAGTTGCAGTGATATGGTTTAACCTTTAATGTCAGTAAAATACTCCTGTCAATAGCTTTTCATTGTGTTTCTTGCAAAGCCACAGTTCTACTGTATAAGCTTAAAGTCGTTTGCATGTTCAATTTTGGTTTGCGCATACTTTAGTGAGGGCACTGCTCGATTTCTGCCACCTGTAACTGACAAACAGCTTTTCCTTTTCATGTGGTGCATGTTTCAGTAAAAGCCTCAATGCAGTCATCCCTGTCAATGAGCTGCTGTAAATTTGATGACAGTGTGTGATGATTTCCTGATGAAGAGAGCTTGATTTTATACCATCCATGTGAGGAAATACATGAGGGCGAATACCGTGTGTTGTTATATTGAATGCTTTGCTGATGCAACAAATGGTTTCTTTCTTTTATCCTGAATCATTTTATTTTTTTCCTTTTTTGTCATAGTGCCTTTGACTTGGTAAACATTCATCTTTTCCATGACGCTTCCAATTTAATTGCTTGGGAAACAAGCCCATCGGTTTACTCAGGAATACGGCATAAGGCTCTTGGCTATGTACTTGATAGGTATGTATTAGCCTTTACTAGCCTCTTTCAAACTTCTCTGTTCATAAGCAGCATATAAAAGATTTTTTAAAAGGCACACACAGAAATGTAGAGGGTTTTATGCTGTGAACTGGAAATGGTCACTTCTGATGGGAGTTTTCTAGATGGTGCCAATTACAGATCACTTTATGCCTCTTACTCTGTTAAGCTAAATTACTGAGATTGGAGAATCAACCTGAAGTCACCAGAACTTGTAGAGTAGAAAGCAGGTTTGGTTTTTAAACGTGTTGGTTAGATGAGTTGCTCTATAGTCTGCGTGGAGTCTCGTAACGCTGCCATGAAAGGATGTTTTTCAGTTACAGAATAGGAGACTACAGCCTGTTGGAAGGGACCTCTCAAGTCTCTCGTTGATCCTCCTGCTCAGAGCAGGGCTGGCTTCAGCATCGGATCAGGATCGGTTCCAGGCTTACCCAGCCGAGCTTGGAAGAGCTCCCTGCACGGTGACCTGTAGTGTCTCTGGGCCACTCGTTCCTGGGTTTGACTGCCCTCATCGTGGAGCTTTTTCTCCCTGATATGCAGACAGGATTTCCCATTGCCCTCAACTTTTGGCACGTGTCACTGGGAAGAGTCTGGCTCTGTCTTTTCTGTAACTACCAAATAGATGAAGCCGGCAAGAGAATGCTGCTGGAGCCTTTTCTTCTGTGAGCTGAGCAAATTCAGCTCTTCCACCCCTCCTCATAAGCCATGAGCTCCCCCCCAGCACTAAACCCTGTGCTGTTCATATCTCAGGCCTAGCTGGGTGCAGTAGGCAGCTAATCTTTTTCAAGCAGCAGCACAGCGTTTGTGTGCAGTCATCACTGTTATTAATAACATCTGTTGCAGAGTTGATTCATCTGGTGGGTGGTACCATACAGGGGGTAGTCCCCCAAACACCCAACAATTTACAGCTGCCCTCATTAGCAGTTACAAAGCTTTTTCTTGAGCAAAAAAGTGTGGTTTCTGCATGGGTGCACGTGCTTTGGCAAAGTGAACAGGCATTTATTTCTCTTGAGGTACTGCTTGACTGCATGAGATATAGAGGTGGGAAGTGTCTCCTCAAAGCAGCCATGGCAAACACTGTAGATTTTAACTGGAAGAGGCTCTGAAATGTGGAATGGGCTATAAATACTTTTCAGTTACTTTCTGCCCAAGGTTCTATTTCTTTCTTTAAGTTTTATCTTCTTTAAGGCAGATACTTCAGCAGCAGAGGCTGCTTTCCCCACTCTGTCGGAAGAAGTGCTTTTCCTGTGCACCCCAGCAGAGGGCTGAGTAAGAATTCCTCACAAATAGGCTTTTATTTTCACTTGGGGGGGGGGGTGTGGGGGGGTGATACAAGGCTGAAGAGGAAAAATCCAGTGTGTCTGCTCTGATGTGGCTTGTAAAACCTGTTCAAAGCATCAGAAACCACTGGGGGCACTTGGGAGGTTTGCAGGCTGGTAGGATGCGGTCGTTTATGAAAGGTACCTCTAAAGGTCTATATAAAAAGGGGACAGACACAGTAAGATCAAGATCTGCTCTCAGTGCAGTTTGAGAGCCAGGTTTTCGGGTCCTGTCACACACAGCATGGGAGAGGCTTGGTTTTATCTCATTTTAACTCGGCTCCATTGGTCTCCTTTTCCTCTGCTTTGCATGAGGAGCTGCAGCAAACCTGTGTAAAGCTCCCATGTTATTTACTGCACACTTGTTTACAGCTTGCACTGTGCTTCAGGAGCTGGTGTGGGCTCTGGACCTCCCACGATGCCCGGGCGAGGGTAAGGTAGCAGGACGGTGGTATTAGTGTCAGCTCTGGGTCAGAGATGTCAGGATGGTCTATCATTAAAATGTGACACTGCCAAAACCTGCCCCAGCTCCCCTGTTCTCGGGGCTCTGGTTGCACAACGCTCCTGTGAGCTGGCATTCAGTGCAATTGTGCATTGGGAGGGAGCAGCCAGCCGCAGATCCGGACCTCCACAGCGCGGTGATGGGCTGCCTGCCACAAAAGGGGAGTTCTGTACGAGCAGTGAATAATGGGAACCCCCTTTCATCGGCAGTGCTAACCTTTTGGCAGCCACCAGCAAACTCTATTCTGATCCCCTGATTGGGGAGGACAATACACTGGAGCTTGCTCTGAATGAATGCTGCCACCAACAGTGTCCCCATTCAGAGGGTTTTGGGAACCATCTTTGACCATTGTCTGCTATCACCCCTTCAGACAGTAGGAAAAGGGAAAGTGAGAGCGTCTATAGGGGGAAAGTACTTCTTTTCTTGGCTTTAATCTCTCTTTAAAGCTTCATAGATCTACATTTCCAGCTGAGCTACTGGAACTATGCAGTGTCAGATAAATACAGAAGAGAGAGGTTTCAAGCTGAGCTTTTAAATCCCCTTATCTGCATGAACTAATAATGCAGATTTAGTGCTGTTAAAAACAGAGACTGATAAGTCTTTTCCTTTAAAGCCTTTAAACTTCTAAAGAGCATTTAACAGCAATGCAGTTCAAACCCAGTGAACAATACTGAGAAGGAAAACAGTTTAATGAGCTAAACCTTCACTGAATGAAGCAGAAACACCTTCTCACAGTTGGTTTGGGTCACTGTGAGAGCAAAGGAAAGCACAATCCTGCTCCCGCATCTTCATAAACATGAGTTTAGAGCAGCCTTGTAATGTCTGGTAAAAGCCATCACAGGAGTTTGGAGCACAGAAGAGAAAAGAGTTTGCAAACAAAGCCCAAATGAATTAGTTTCACTGTTAAAGTGACCGGGGAAATTGGTTTCCCCAAAGTTATTGTAATTCTGAGGTTTTAACACAGGAGCTGTGCAGCATCCCTGAGTTACTGCGAAGGACAGGGCTGGGGGCACAAGGAAGAAGTGGCAAGTGAACGATTTCAGTTTGCCACTAAAAGTCTTCTCCTGAGGGAGTCTGTTCATAATCATGGAGTAGAAAGGCTTGCTCGGACAGTGGTGTTCTGAAGTGGTTTAGCTTTAATAATGTTAAAAACGAATTACAGAGTGAGAAGAGTACGTGCAGCTGGCTCGTGTGCACTGCGCCAGGCTGGTTTCAGCATTTGCCATTGAACAAGTGTGAAGAAAATGTTGTGTTGGATAGACACTTTAAAGACTAAGAGAGCTGGAATTACACTGGGGTGAGGCAAATGCCTGGGTATTTACAAACACATACACAGTGTATACAGTAAAGAACTGGTGTGTGTGAGGAGTCTTGGTCAATGCTAATATAAACCAGAAGTTAATTACCAGAAGGCAGTTATGTTGTTCCAGATAGGCATAGATACAGCCACAGCTGAACTTGCTTTACAAATGAGAGTAAGAACACCTGCTTTATGTTTTGTGGGGCAAAAAAAATCTTCCAGGCCCAATTTGGGTAATTCCCACCTGCAGTTATCTCTGTTTCCATAATACTTGGGGTTTATATTTTCTAAAGTCGGAGGGTTTAAGCTATACACAAGGAGATGTCATTTACATTTTACTTTAGTCTTTCTTGACCTGCTGTAATTGATGCTTGTGCATGTGTCATATTAATTAATCATATTGGCCTATTGGTCATGTCCTTTAGACCCTTGCTGGGGAAAAGTGTCCCCTGAATTAGCAGCCTGGCCAGGGACTGAGCTGAAGCTGTAGCCCGGGGTCCTTTAAAAGTATGAGGAGCGTGTTTGCAAAGGGCAGGACGTGAGATGTGAGCATGATACAGCAAGTCCTGCTGTGCAGCCATTTAAACTTCCTGAAATTATCTGGAGCATTCGGATCCATAAAATGAATGTGTTTTTTTTTCAAGAAAGTGACAGTGCTCTTCTGTTTCCCTATTGAAATGTTCCCTGGCCTAGTTCAACAGAAACATTTTTACATTACAACTGTGAAATCTTGGCATAAAGCTCCCCTTTGTGCCCTTCATTATTTTCTCACAAATATAGTCCATTGTCACATAGCTGAAGTTAATTTGATCAACATTGGGACATTTAACTTTTATGTCCGGTCAAAGGAGCTGTTTCATGCTCGTTTTGGGTATTCAAAAGAAATGATTGCCAGAAAAATAATGTTACTATTAACAATTCAGAGCAATTAGTTTCCCAGGGAGAGGCGATGTGATGCACCGGCTCCACACAACTATTCTTTGTCATTTTATGGATGCTCATCAGTCAACTGTCACATCTTCTCAAAGACCCCTCCAATCTAAATGTTTCTCTTTGGGCTTTTCCCAGAACTAGCAGCTGAATGAGCAAAAGAAAAGCCACTTAGTTTCTAGGCAAAGGAAAACTTCACTCCAAAGATCTCGGTCATTTGAGAAGATCCTCGGAGCAGCTCCTCTGGGGGCATTTTATTTTTGGTACTTTGTTTTTTGCAGCAGTGGCTTTAACTCCAGTCATGCACCTCGGAACGGTTAGAGGAATTTCTGTGTATTCAGATAGAATGCGCAAATAAACCTTCCACCCAGATGTCTGCTAACAAAGGTTTAAAACCCTAGACCACATTCAAAAAGACAGCTTTTCATTAAACACCCTGAGGCTCATCTCATTCATATTCACTAACATTCCCCCCCCCCCAAACTAAGGTTAAGTGCTCTCAAAATTAGCCTGTTTGTATAATATGCTCTTTAAAGAGTAAATCCAGCAAAATTGTCTTGTTACTCTCAACCTGTCAAATACACTCACAGATGCTTTTTTCTTTGCTTCGTGTTCTTCTCCTGGCTCGAGCTTCTGCATGTCTGGTGCAGTTGTCCCCGACTCTACTCCTGTGTCCTTTGGTCACAGAAACATTCTGAATTTGAGTTAGGTGTATTTTTAGCAGAAAAATCATTTTCTACTCATTTGCATTGTAGCAGAAAATACATGGTTATAATGTTAAGGACACAAGGAATGATGATTTCTGACTGTTGCAGTCAGTAATTTTGCCTTTATTCTGTTGTTTTCAGCATTTGGGCCTTTTTTATTATTTATTTTTCATTTTGGCATTGATTAATAACTAAACAGGTGAATACTACATTTGCAGCATTTA